CTGAGGACAGAGTTATTCTGCTTCCCAAACATGACTGAAATCTTGAAAAACATTTTAGGCCAATGTCAGTAATACTGAAGTATACAACTGGTACTTATTAATAACACTAGACAATATCAGTGCATCTTTTTAATATTATTATTTTGTTTATTTTAGCATTTAAGCTTGCTTGGCGATTAATGGGCTACATACATACCTTGTCCAGGTAGGATGCCTCATTCTGTGAACTTTGGTTCATATCATTGCCTGCGGGAGAACATTATGTGGAAGCACATCATCATTTTCAGTCACAATGAATCTAATCTTAATTGCAACATCTCAAGGAGTAAATAGGTAGCATTAGAATACAAGTAGATTTTTGTTCTCTCAAGAAAACTATTTATAGAGGCAATAAAATGCAGCATTAATTTCCTAGCTTTATTAATCTAGTAAAAAAAAGATAAAAATGAGCACAGTTTATTCAGATTTGTTGATCCATATCTAAATGTCTGCTAGAATTATTCCATTTGCTTCTTGCTTAATGAAAAATTCACATCAATAGAAGACTTATCTCCTTGATTTGATGTTGTATAAAATCTGCTAATTAGAAAGAAAATATTAGAATTTATGGGTTTTACCTAAATAGTATACCTAAATAATTTACCTAAATACCTAATAGAGCTTAATAGTAGATTCTAAATTAAAGGTCTTGAAAAATTAGTTACAACTACAATTAAGGATAGAGTAAGTGTTGGAGGGGGGGTGGTTGGTTTGGGTTTTTTTTTTCTTAATTCACTGGAAATTATACATAAAGATAATGCTCTCTCATTCCAGATGACAAAAATAAATAAGTCTCTGAAAAGGGAATGGGCCCTGTACATAAGTACAAGCTTGACGAAGCAGCACGTTGCATATCCATCACAAACAGAAAAGCAGACTAGCAGCCATTATGTTAAGATGGTAAATCCACCTAGGAGATGGTATATTAGCAGAATGTTGGGGTTTTTTTACAAAAACTTGAAAATTTGGAGGCAATCACCTATTAAAGATTTCTACTCTTTTTTCTTTGTCACTTGTTCTCATTTTTCTTGAAAGCAAGCCAACAAAAATCCTGGAAGATATTTTTTCCTTCACTGTCCTACATATACACTTATGTATATGTCTTACATATGCAGAATATTTGCAGAATATGTTGTTGCAGCATATTGTGGAATTTCTTATACTATTTCAATAGCATCCACTGTAGGTCGCAGGAGACATCCATTGGGGTAGACAGATTTCTATTTTGAACAAGAACTGCACTTATTTTGTTCTCATGAAGCAAATTTTTGAGGGCATATTTTCTCAGGTATGTGGAAATCTAATCAGTATGCAACATCCAACATTTTACAAAAATAAAGTACTGTCAACAAGGGACATCCATTTTGGTATATACCCTAATGTGCCTACCTGTGGAAAACTTCCATCAACACAAATATAAGCTAAGTAGAAGCACTGCAGGTGAATATGCCATTTTTTAACTTCCCTGGTAACTCTTCATGGATTAGTATATTCCTTTTCCCAAAAACTCATCATAATGTGAGGCCAGAAATTCCAATTGCATTTGTAAGCATACACTGTATTATCTTAAATTGTGCAGCAACTACAATGTCTCTAATTGAAGTTGTCTCAGTGCAGAGCACCCATTTTAATTCCCGAGTAATTTTCCAGTAATGAAATAGCTGTATTCAGGGCACAGTGTGAGAACATGTTTGATGGTTATGTGAAATTGTGTTACAGCTACCTTTAGGGAGCATCTAATTTATTTATTGTCTGTATGAAACCAACCACTATTTTCCTATGTGAAAAAATAAATTATTTTTATTTTTTAAATTATTACTTATTTCACAAGTACTGCCTTAGACCAGTCTGTGAATAATAGTTTAATTATATACTTCACATGTTCAGAAAAACTTGCAGATATTATATGTTCATGTTTCTAATTTTAGACTGCAGCAAATGCTTCTGCCATCTTTCCTCCAAATTAATACATATAAGACCCTCAATGAAACAAAAGGGTTTTTCAAAAGAAGTGCTTAAAGTATATAATGAATTCCATAATTTGTGAGTTGTAAAACCTATCACCCAAACACAAACAGCTGAATGGACCTTAAACCTAAAGATCTTAAGTCAAAGCACGTACATTAATAATTTGTTTTCTCCAGTAAAACAAAATATTATCAGTTCATTACCTACCTTCTCCATTAAACTGATTGCAAGTCAATAGTCGACTTCTGAACTTTTCATTTTCTTCAAGCATTTTTGAAATTACTTTCCAGACCTTATGCCAGACTTTGGACTGAAAGATAAAATTGAACTTCCTCAATGAAGCATATAAAAAGTTTGTATTCAAACATCTCCTATAGGGCAGAACTTTGAATCCTCCAGCATGACTATGAAGTCTGACTGGTTTTTTGTTGAGGACTGGGGAGTGGGAGATGTGGAGTAGGGATATATATGTGGCATATACTGGAAGAATTACCTCTATTTAAAAATAAAAAAAACCCATTAATTACTCCATGATTTTGCACACGAGATATCCTCCTCCTTTTTTGCCTAGAACTCTTATTTACCCAGGGCTTGTGAAGTGCCCTTCTAGATAAGAAGAGCTTATGAAAACTTGCATAAAGCCATCAAACTCTCTTCAAAGTCATCCAAAATTGGGGAAAAAATGAGAATAATACAAGACTGCTCATTTTGCCAGGAGCAAAAGCTTTCCCATTTAACCCCTGAGGAGCAGCAGCATAATTCAGACACCCGTGCCCAGATTCCAGCACAGTAACGGCCTTGCCTTTTTCATATCAAATCCATATGAATCTGGTTTATAGATGTTGATGACCTCTATTTTAGAAGCATAGAACTGCAGCTATAGTGGGCACATTTCAGACTTGTGCATTGAAAATATTAAATCGGAACCATTGATAAAGGCATTGAGAAAAGCAGCCTAACAAATATAAATGGCTGTTAACATGCCAACATTATGGCTTTTGCTGGACCCCATCCGTGAAACTAGTTTAAATCTAAAGATAATTCCTTTCTCATGGACGTTTATGGCTAAAACATAATACATATTCCTCATTCTTTTTGAAGACTATTTAATGTACTAGAAGAGTGATATTATAGTATGTTATTAGCTGTTCCTCTGAAGTCAATAGTATTTTGCTGGTTTTAAATCAAGTATCTGTGACATTACTATATTATAGTCTAGCTGATTACTTGTACTTTACACATTACAAAATCTCATAATGAGTTACTGTTTTAATAAATGTGCCTTTTAAAATTTCAAACATTTGTTGAACTACTGAACAGGAACAGAAATACATTTGTGTGAAACAAAGTAATTTCATATCGCTGCTAGTACGGTGTTAATACTTCTGATTCCTGCCTTCACTCATTTGCAACCTGTGGGATTTCTTTGCTTAAAACATAAGAGAAAGAGGAGCTGCAGAGCTTTTCCTTGCCAGGTTTCACCCAGCAAGGTGTGCAGCACCCTGGCCCCAATCCAGCAAAGGATTTCAGTACAGGCTTTAAGTCAATAGCATACTCTCATTTTTCAAAGTAAGCACCACACTTAAGTGCTTTATTGAATGAGAGCCAGAATTTTAAAGCCTCCAGAGAGGGAAAATAAGACCATTTTTCTTTTTTGTAAGGTTTTCAGTAACAGACTACCCATTTGATCTTTTAATCTCCCTTATGCTCTCACATACACATACACAGAACAAACAGGAAGCTATTTTCTCAAATGCAAAGGCAGCTAATTCAGCTCCCACATTGTATACCTTTGGTTTCTTTCGTTTAATTACTTTATCAACATTTCTTGAAGGGAAGGGAAAGTCAAAGGTGTCAGCCTTATTCTCTCGAAGGTCACCTAGGAAGAGAATTTAGAAATCATATTCCAAGTGTTTACAATATATTCCTGAGGAAGCTGTAGATACCTCATCTTCCAGAGGGATACCTATTTCTGGTCCCAGCAGGTTACAGAATATCAGTCTTCACTTCATGCTGACTATCATCTTGCTTATTTTGTCCATTACAACCATGGGACAAGTGGATATCTCTCAAACTCCACAAAACAGATTTCAAACCTGTACAGCAACTAAAAATGAAGACAGTGGGCTTCTGGGCAATACAACTAGTTTTTAATTCCCTCTGTTTCACCTTGCTATGGCAGCTACTAGAATTCTCCCTAAGCTCAAAGAGGAGATGGTGAGTAGACTGAGACAAGAAACTGGAAAAATCCCCTCTTCTAGCACTAAAAAACAGAAGCAAGAAGGTCAGATTGATCACGTGGACTCAAGACACACATAGCCACAAGAGGAAGGACTTGGGTAAGTTTCCAGTGGGGTGAGGATGGCAGCTTTCCAAGGAGCTTCTGGACATGAGTAAAAGGGTGATCCATGTGTGGATGCTGGACATAGTCATACTCACAGGCTCAACCCCTGCCACAGCAGGGCTTCAGGCAAATCAGCATCCTCCAGGCCACCACAGCCCCACCACCAGATACCCAAGGCTGCCACATCACAGGAGCAAGGCTTTGAGTTACCAATAGTCACAGGCTGCCTCTGAGCCATGGGTTGGCATCATTTAGATAATAACCTGGCAGAACCGATGCTTTTAATTACAGACTAATGTAACATTTCACTTTTTCATCTTTAGAAAAATGGATTTTAGTAAGAGGAAAACATACAAGAAAATGGAAACCTCTCGAGAGCAACAAGTCAGTAAAATTCAGGACCACCCTATCGCTGTCACCCATCATTTCTAGCTCACACCCAGCTTCTTCTCCAGAAGCCAGGTCATGTTCTCTATTTTCACTCTATTTCATCTTGTGCAGCAGAGCTATATTTCATAACAGCTCACAACCAGTTTGCTTTTATGAAACAAGGCACCCACACCCATGCCCATCCCAACTTTATTTGGTCCCAGTCACAACGAAAGACAATTAAGAAACATCTTCAGGCTGTTGCAGCAACAAGGGAGCCAGCAGCGTGGTGGCTCTCTGGTTAGGCAGGAATCTCCTGAGAAGAGGTTGAAAGGATGCAGAAGTTTGGTGTGGAACAGGGCAGCCCTGTTGGACACAGCTTATTTTTGGCCTTATTGCTGTCACAGGAAGGGACAGGGAAGGCTGTGCTGCAGGCAGCCACCTTACCTCACAGAATGGACACAGCGTAGCTCAACGGTGTAAGAGTTTGGTGCAAAAATATTAAATTATTCACTCGTGTAAGTTTAACACCATGTTCCACCTCCTGTCTAAATACCCAGCCTGACTGTACTGGGCATGTTAACAAAAAATTGTGCTGCATTCACCCCTCAGTGCGCACGGTCCGATTGAGAGAGGAGGCCCTGGTGGGACAGTATCAACAACGCACTGCAGGGAAGAGGAGGACATGGTGGGGGCTCAGCGCTGTGCTCTCCCATGCCCAGGCACACAGAGGTCCCTGGGGATTAACACATACCTCGATGGAGGCTGACAGGCTTTGCCACACCACAGCTCCCCACTGCTTTTGCCCTGCCACGGGCGGCAGGCAGTGCAGGGCCGGCCTTGTCCCCTGGTGCTGGCACAGCCCTCAGCCCCTCAGCCTCCCCCATGGGGCTCGGGGACAGCGACGGCCCAGCCTGGCCCGCTGCAGCCTGTCGACAGCCCCTGCCATAGCGGGTGACGGAGCCGCAGCGGTGGGAGCCGAAGCTGTTGACATAAACGAGTTGGACGCGGGGGCGGCCCTGGCGGCAGCCCGGCTCCACCTGTGTGGGGCAGGAGGGTGGTGAGGCCCCGCTGAGGCACAGCGCTGAGGAGAGACGGGGACTCAGGGGGCGGGTGTCCCGGCCACAGCACTGCGGGGTGCACGGCACCAGCGGCCCCTTGCTCTGGGCAGGCATGGCGTGGGGACGCCTGCCCAGCAGCCTTCCTGCCTCATCCTGCCTGACTGCCACCATCCCATTTCAGTGTCCAGGCTGGATGGTGAAAATTTGAGAAAAAACTGTTTTCTGAGCAGAAAGGAACAAGCTCAGTGCAGAGCAGGCGCAGGCCTTGTACCATCCCAGTGTCTCTCTCTCACGGTAGCAATAGGCTCCACAAGATTGCTTTTGGCCAGCATTAGTTAGGGTTTAGCAAAAATTATGCTGCCTGAAGTGATATATTGATACATTTCATGCAAGTTATTGATAAAGTGATACAGGGGACTCCAGGCAGTGACGTATTGTCTGTCTCTGCTGTGATTTACAGGCAAGGAACAAGCAACATCTTTTCGATGCAGTTCCTGCATTGAGATAATGAATTTTCACATCGGTGTACTCCAAACAGCTTACCTGGTAGCGCACATGTGTGTGGCTCCAGCCACCCATGAGCAACATTTATGAAATACTAGTTTAAATACCTGTTGTCATTTTGTCTCTCAGGCAACAGCAGACACACGGGCATGCTGTGTGATACCAAGAAGACACCCATTGCAGTCAGGAGTCTTTCCCATGAAGGTGCTCTAAAGAGATGTGTCCCACTGCAGCAGCGGGTTTATGAGATATGGTCAGTGACAAGTGGGATTCCTCAAACCACTTAAGAGCGCAAGTTCCATTGATTTTTGGTTTGGTGTTGAAATACTCCTCCATATTATTGCCCAGAGTTTCAGCACACTGAGCTGCTCAGAAGAGGGAAAGCATCACAAATTAGAAAGAATAAATTATGTGAAAATACATTTTTTGTTGTTAATTTTGTTTTAGCAGCACCAGCAATATGAATGGCGGCTGACAATTTGCCGCCCTTAGCGAATGGATCTGAAAAGAGCACGAAGCAAAGGGGAGTCTTTCCCCAGCCTTTGAGGAGGCTGAGAGCCCCGGAGGTCTGAGGGGCTGCTGTCCCCTTGTCCCCTCGGCAGGACAGGGTGCTGTGCAGAGGGACCCCACCAGGTGGCAGCCTTACCCACCGAACCGGTCCGTGTCCCCTCCTGCTGCCACCTGACACGGGAGACGGGGAGCCCCGGGCAGGCAAAAAAACCCCGCAGCAGCCTCTGCAAAACATCCCAGGATTCCCCGCTATTTTATACACTGTCAGAAAAAGGTATTTTGTGTATGCAGTTGAAAAAAGAGGAAAACAACTTCCAGAGGCACAGCCTGACAGTTTGCCAGAGTAATTAGTTATTTCCCAATCATAAAGGGGCATTTACTGCAGGGTACAAAGTGTCTGGACTAAAAAGGAAGGCACAGATATGATGCAAGCACCAAGTCAGTAGCGTTGAGATCAATTGTGATCTCAAAAAAACCCCCAAACCCCCAAAAAACACCACCCCCCACCCCCGCAACCAAACACCAGGAACTCCCTCCTCTTGAGCTAACAAATCGGCCTAGTGAAGTAACAGCCAGCAAGTTCAATTTTGGGGTATTAAGCCCAGAGAGAGACAACTGAATAGCTTCATTAAAAACTGATCCTGGAATGCAAACTTGGTCATGGCCATTAATCACAAAGCCCTGCTAAAGAAAGTACTCCTTTTGCTGAAATACATGAGTCTCAGTTCACACTACAAAATAACCCTGAACACACACCCACAAACCTAAAGAGCACTCGTTTTCGTTACAGGAGTGTCTTCGCACTGTGCACGAACAGTTGCTGCTGTATCTTCCTGACAAGGAGTTCCCTTTGCCAACTGACAGGCTGCCTCCTTCCTATGGCCCCGCCAGGGCACCAGGGTTGCCAAATCAGTGGTTTTCTCAGCATCTGTATTTATGGAATATGCTTCCACCCTACTCATAAAAATACATATGCAGTGTGTGGCACATTTTGTCCACTTTTCCCAACAGCACATTGATAGGACTTTGATTTCAAATGCATATTCAGCTCAGATCCCTTTTAGCATCTAATGCTACTGACAAAAATCAACACCACCTAAAATCCATGAGCAATCTGCAAATTCAGCTATTTTAGCTGCACACTGTTCTTCATTCTCGTTTCCACATGTGTGAATGGAGCACCAGCTAACCACCATCTCTGCATTTGTCACTTTGAACATCTTGGTTTTTCACCTCATCTTCAACTATCTAGGTAAAAATAGACCAGATTCTAGCTTTCAGCCTGCACCTCATCATGCCGTTTGTTTTGTATTCAAATATCAGATTCTCCAGCTCAGAACTTGCATTGTTTCCTGAATTCTATTGTTTCAGTTTTACTTTGGCCAAGTATGCATCTTCTCCTATTAACCCTGACTATCATTTTAAAGTAAAGCAGGTTTTGGTGCTAGCAAGCCTACAGATTATGCCAAGGAAAAGGAAGGAAGAAGCCGATGGGACATTGCTGCATGCACAGTTAGTGATTACCTGCAAAAATGAAACTCCTTCTGCTGTTGGAGATTTGTTTTTCTATGAGGATTCTTTGCAATGGAGTTAAATAAAGTAGTCACGCGATTCAGCATAATTCAGGCAAGGTTCAATTCAGATTGTTTATTAAGTATTACATTATCTTGATCAACTGCAAATTGTGACTACATCTGAAATACGAATCTTAACACTGTTAACAGGGATATTTACGTGGAAAGTATGCTAATTCTGACAACAGCTACAGTCAAACCTTGTTAATTACACCCTCAGCAGTAGCACAAACAATTACTGTATCTCCTTCATTTTCACAGAATATTTAATAAGAGTCGTTGGAGTGAGGTATTTTATTAGAATGTGGTTACTTTACAGAATACACTGGGGACCATTTATTAGTATAACTAGGAATCATTATGAAAACAAAACTCACCCCTTCTGGTAAATCCAAGCAATGCATTATGCCTTCAGCTTTTGCTTAGTTGTAAAATTTCATAATTTACAATGAATTCCACTGTTAATTATGCAAGCAACAACACAGTGCAGCAGAGAGATAAAATGGCCAGCTGCCATTTTAACACACCTGCATTTCATATTAATGAACCTGCATATCTCAGACTGCTTTACAAACCATACACGTGGGAATCACTTCATCCACGGCAGTCATAAAGGGAGTCATATTTTCCCATTTCTCCGTGCTGCACATAAAAATATTTAGCAGACTATAAGCTGAGTTTGTTACATAAAAGCCTGAGCCTTCTCTTGAGAGATTTTCAAATCACCAAGATCCACAGACTTTATAATCAAAACCCAAGTCAATGAGATTGAAACCCTTGTCTTAGAAGAACTTTGCACTACAGTATTTAACTAAAGATTCCCAATCTGAAATAAAACTATAGGGGAACTCAAAAAGGTAAAATGACCACTGAAGATAACACCAAAATTAAGCAGCCTTATTTCTGTGAAAGACTTGTAGCCAAGTGGATACAGCAAAAGGTAGGCAAGGTCTTCAGTTTCTCCGATTTCATTTTTCCACACAAATATGCAAGTTACTGGTATTTAATCCTTTGTTTCCAAATTAGAGATAGAAAACTTTACCTTGGCTCTTTCCAATTTCAGGCTGCAGGGATGATATTACATGTTACTACTGCTGTTCTGGGGCACGTGCAGTTTAGACCCTAGGTGAACACAGAGATGGGGAAGTTTAGTCCTACCTCTGATAAATCTCCAGATACTGTTTCGTCACATCCTGGAATAATACTGGTTCAATACAACATATAAAAAGCAAAAATCATTAAATCATCCTCAGATTCAGTAATGTAGGTCTTCCAAGACCATCTCTCCAAGCACAGAAAGCTCATGTTTTCTTAGCCTCTCTTGTGAAATCTAGCATGATCTCAGGCCAAAGTGTGCCTGCAGGCTAACATAATCGCCAGTACATCTGTCTGCTTATGAGACAGTCCTATTTAACTACAGTATAAATACCACTCAACATACTCATTCCTCAGCAGTAAGTCCACTTTGTAATCATACTAGGGTCTTCACAGAACTCTTCCAGATGCTGAACATTCACTCCTTCCCTACCCCCCCAGAGACATAAGGATGCTGCCAGAAGAGGAACAGAGCAGGGCTTCTGTCTCCAAGGACTGCTAGCCCTGCAGAGAAAATCGAAGCAGTCGCTACTTTGTTCTGCCATCACATTCCTCCAAAGACATCCCCCTGTAAAAGCAACCCTTGAGCAAATTTTCTTGCCATTGACTGAAAAGCTGAGTTGATTCTGCCAGTGTGTACAGAGCAACATTTGCCTGTGAACAGCTGGCCCGCTGAAGCAAAGCTAAGGGCTACTGCCTGCTGCTTACAATGAGAATCTTCCTCAAAAACCTACAAAATCGAATTTAACTCACTGAAAGAAAATTCAAAAACACTTGGCATGAATGCACTCCATACACAAACCAGTACTGGGCATCTGCTTAAAGCAACAAGCACTGTCTTGAAAAATGACACTTTGCTAAATTGACAACTTAATGCTTTCACATGCATAGCAAGGCATAAACAATCACTAAGCAAACTGATCCTGCTTCATGAGTCAGCAGCAGTGCGAGATGGTGAATTAGACTGAGCAAACATTTTCTCAAACGTTGGGTTGGAGGACGCTGGCAGAGACTTTATTGGTTTTTTTTAATGCATTGCTCTATGTGTGAATTGCCACCCTTCCACAGATTACAAAACTGTGTTAAGAGTTACTAAGGCACATAGTGTGTGTCAACTGCATCTATGCTCTCAGTCTGCCATTTAAGTAAAATCAAAATCAATGTTCTTCATTCACATGAAAAGCACAGCAACTCACCCAGCCATACATGGAATAAAAAATGCCACATAGCTGAGAGTGATAAAACTAAATCCATTTTAACTTTTAAGATTAATGCAAAACCAAAAATTTGTTCTCATAGTTACCCTTTACCTGTGATGTGTTCAGAGGATTTAATCTCAGCTTTCATGACTTACCAAAATTAAATTTCAGAAAGAAAAACACAATCAAACACAAACCTTCTATATTTATATATTTTATATACATAAGGAGG